GGGGGGGTGGGGGGGGTAGGTGGGGAGAAGAAAAACAAAATGGGGCAGAGTAAGCTTCAGCTTTGGGAGAGATTTCTCAGGAAGGAAAACAAACCGAACCTTGGAAAATGAAGAGGGAAAAGTGACTAAAAAATGAGCGTCTGTCCGTTTGAGGCCAGTGGACAGAAGAGCCACTCAGCTCCCCCGAACCCCATTAATATCAGACCCAGGGATAAAAACAAAACAACCAACACCCAAAACCAGACCACATGTAAACAAGGGAACACCACCCGGAAGTCTCAGTGCTCAGGACAAAACAGCATCACAGATCTGAGCAACTGAAGCATAAACTCAAGCCCAGAAGCAGGCGGCCCCATGGTGGCTGCTAATGAGGACTAGGGGAACCTCCATAGGTGGAGAGGACCAGGAAGCTTTAGAGAGGAGGAGGGGGAAGGAGCCCCAGGGAGTCAGGAGGACTTGCTGAAAGCCAATTGGCCAAGTCTATTCCTCTCCTCAAGCTGCAATGCCGGCCCACTCGAAGTGAAGTTCACTGCAGAGTGAGCCAGAGTTGGAGTGTAGCTGAGGCTGTAGGCAAAGAGGGAACTGGCCCACAGCTCAGCCCTTTTCTCTCACTCTGGATCCCCAAAGACCAGTGGGCGGGCATGAAGCTCCAAGCAGAAATGAATTTCCAAAGCCTATGAGAAGAGACGGAGAGTGTGATGGTCAAGAGGCCCCAGAGGATCGCACTTCACTGAGGCTCACCACTGAGCCCCACTCACAAAGAAGTTTGCCTCACCGTGCCCACCCCACTTCAACACGAAAGAAAAAAGCCACCCAACAAAAATAAAAGCAAACTGTGATAGATGTGAACACTTATGGTTAAAAGCTGGAACTGAGGAAATATCCCCGGATGTAGAGGAGGAGGTACTAAGAATGAGAAATTGGGGGAGAAAAGGTAAAAACGAACAATTAATAAAGGAAATACTAAGTTGAATAAATGGAATTACGGAAGACATAATTCAAGAAAAATTCCAGAACCAATAAACATGATTTTCATAATTAAAATAATTTCATATGCCCAACAAATGGGCTAAACAAACCAGCTCTTTGGAGTAAATCGCAATGGAATTACCGAAGACATAATTCAAGAAAAATTCCAGAACCAATAAACATGATTTTCATAATTACAAATGGGCTACACAAACCAGCTCTCTTTGGAGTAAATCGCTACCAAATCTTGGAACCCTGAGAAGATACAGAGATCCCAAACGCTTCCAGAGAGGAGAGAAAACAAAAACACATCCCGACGGCTCGGGGCTCCGGTGACACTGATTCTGCAGCAGCACTAGAGGGTGGAAAATCAAGGATCAGTGTTTTCAGAATTCTAAATAAAAATGGATTCTAACCTAGAACTCCATACCCCGCGACACTCTCAATCAAAATGCAGGGTCCTCAAGCTGGAGGAACTCATTGCACAAGCTTAGAAAGCAGCTGCAGGAGGTGTACCTCAAAATGAGGGAGAAGCCAAGACAGACTCTGACAAGCAGAAAAGACACAGGGGTGAGGTGAAGGGAATCTGCTTGCTCACAGAGGATGAGGGGGAACCCCAAACCAGCAACGGAGCAGTCAGAGGTCACCGCGGAACCTGTGGGCACAGGTTAAGAGATGCTCCAGAAACACAGATGGAGGACACTTGAGCAAACTGAGAGAGTCTTGCTCTTCCTGGAGATTCGAGGAATTAAGAATAGGACTGTGGGAAACAAAGAGGAAGGGCCGAGAAGAGTCCAGGAAAACGAGCTCCGCAGGGAAACGAGCTCTGCAGGGAAGGAGGTGCGATTCCAGCATGCTGTGCCAATCGGGCGTGGGTATTTACAGGACTAGAATGAGACAAACCTGAACACCAAAATTATGATACAATTAAATGAAGACACTCAAAAAAAGCGTGTGCGTGTGTGTGTGTGTCGTGTGTGTGTCGTGTGTGTGTGTGTGTGTCGTGTGTATGTGTATGTGTGGTGTGTATGTGTGGTGTGTGTGTGTATGTGTGGTGTGTGTGTATGTGTGGTGTGTGTGTGTATGTGTGGTGTGTGTGTGTATGTGTGGTGTGTGTGTGTATGTGTGGTGTGTGTGTGTGTGTGTGCGTGGAGTGTGTGTATGTGTGGTGTGTGTGTGTACGTGGAGTGCAAGAGTTATACCATCATCTTCTGTAGCAGAAGCTGACAGCTATAATTACTATCTAAAATTGAAAAGTGAAAAATAGGACAATAGGATGCTTTTTAAAATGACCTTTCCTGTGGGAAGCGAGCACAGCCGAGCCAGCCAAAGATGGAGCCCTGGCTGGCTGCCAAACCTCGTGCTGTTTACTCCAACTCTTGGCTGATTGCCAAGGCTCGTGATTCCCGCTTGCTTACTCCAAAGTATGGAGAGGCCAAACAGGTGCTGCCAGCCTGATGATCTTGCTACGTG